ACATCAATACCATTTTCCTGCTCTATCCCCCTTGATGTCTTTAATATCTCAAAATCTATTGATCTCTGTCACGAACATACTCAAATGTCTGAGTCTCCGCAAATCACTAAGGTAGGGAATTCCAAAGTTTACCAGTCTCTGAGTGAAATAAAATACTCCCCACCTCAGTCCTAACTGGTCTTCCTCTGTTATGAGACTATGTGCCCTGGTTCTAGACACCACCTCCTATGCCAGCACCCCCTACCCCCTCCCAGCAAATCCCCCATTCCCACCTCATAGCCAGGAGAGACATCCCTCGTACACTCTCCTGTCGAGACCTGTAAGACTTTTGTTTACTTCAATGAGATCACCTCTCATTCTTCTAAACCATACAGAATGCAGACTCAATGCACTTACTTGTTTAAAACGTTTTTATCCAAATGAAAAATTTTGAGTGATGGCATGCTGGGAAAGGAAACCTCTCCTTTGTTGGATGCCCAGTCAGTTGGTGGGTTTAATTTTCTTTAGGTGCAAACTGTCGAGAAATTTGGAAGAGAAGCTGCTCCACGGAGACAACCAGAGACCAAAGCTTATACCACCATCATGACAGTTGACGTGGCAAAATTAAGTTGGGAAGTATTGATTTAGCCCTTAGATGTGTTGTGATGAAGGAGAAGATAGAAACAGAAAATGTACAGTTAATACAGAACAGAAACAAATCATTTGGCCCAGCTGGCTTATAGTAGTACAAATTCTCCACATGATATGATGTATTCCCCAAATATGTGCAGATTAGGTGGATTGGCCATGCTAAATTGCCCATACTGTCTCGGGATGCACAGGCTAGATGGATTAGCTTGGGAACTGCAAGGTTACAGGAATAAAAGTAACAGGGTATGTCTGGATGGGCTGCTCTTCGGAGAGTAGTTGTGGACTTGATCGGCCGAATGGCCTGCTTCCACACTATAGGGATTCTATACTTCTATATGAATCTCCTCCCACCTTACTTCATCTTACTCTGTATGCTTCTGTTCTTTTCTTTTTCATGTACATATTTAGTTTCCCCTATATTGCATTTACCCCACCTGCAGTTGTGGCAGTTACCTTTGCAGTGAACTCCACCTTCTAACCATCGTCTGAGTAAAACAACTTTCTCTTGAATTCTCTATTGGATTTATTAGTGTTTCTCTTGTATTTGTGTCTCTTAGTTTTGAACTCTCCCACATGTGGAACATTTATGGAATGACTCCATCATTTTAAAAGTACTCAAGGGGCCAGGTCTCATTTCTTGTATGTGCTGCAGAATTAGGTACTACCAGCTAATGCTTGGGGTACAATGCTGCCTCCAATCTACTCTTTCAAACTAAAAGTGTAATTGCATTACCAGCCCCTGGTGGGGCATCATAACAAAAACACAACCAACTGTTCACAGAAACATCAGAAATGAACAGAAACTTACAAAACCAAGTAACATTATCCAGGGTGTACTAAAGCCCCTGTGGTGCCCTCGTCTCTAAAGGCCTGTATCATGTAGGTAGAACCCTCCTTTCTGAACTAGGTCTAGGGACCTATTTAGTATACAGTATAGAGGATGATACACTCATGAGTCTTAATGAGAAGAGGCACGTATCTTAACAACAAGGTGTAGCTTAAACATGATTGTAATAAGTACAAATTACATTGGCTAGCTAGACATAATTGCAAAAATCTGTTGGAAACCAGAGATGACACATATAATCCTACTGGGATCTTGAGCTAGACTCCCAAGACTGTATGACATCCTCAAATTGATGGAATTTAATGCACTTGCCAATAATAACCCTTTCAGAAACATTACCATACACAACATCACTTTTCCCTTTTCTCAGAGTGCAGGTGGGGAGGGGGAACATTTCCACTTTTCAGTAATTCCTGATTTTTACAGAAAAAATTTGAAAATCCAAACATAGAATTTTATATAATTGTTTTGAAGGGATTATCATGTAAAAAGACTGGTAAAGAATCAGGGAGAGATTTCAGAACGATCAAATTGTCTTTGAAAAAATTGTCTTTGAAATGCAGATTAATAGCTTCAGTGTAGGAATCTCTGAATATGTGGCTGTCCCACCCAGATCGCTGTGTACCTTGAAGGCTTCAATAATATTCTGTGCTATAATTGTACTTAGCAATTCTCTTAATTGACAAAATTTGTTTACTCAACAGGGCCGTTTTGTGGCTCTGGGATGATTGCCACCCATTAATTTTCTCAATTCATCTCAATTCGATCTCCTGATCTGACCAGCACTGGCCAAACTCCTTGCTGTTCACCGAGGCGGATAGTGTGGTGCGATGGTTCTGCAAGGTGAGGATGCCAGAAGTTCAGTAATGGAAACTTTCTGTTGCTGTTCATCCTCTTATAGTTTTCAGAACACCTCGATTTTAAAGCCCTCACCCTTGTTTCCATATCCCTCCATGGTCTCACTGAGCTCTTCCTATCTCTGTAATCATTTCCAGCCATACAATTCTGCACAACCTCACTATCATGAGGACACAGTCCCTAGCCCTAGGTTTACACCAAACAGCTGAGGAGTAAAAGATGGGGGAGCAAAGGATGAAGCAACAGACATCCTCTTTCCAGCCAGGCCGTCTATAATTGGTTCATCCTACTAAGATCCCAGCAAATATAGCCCCCGATTCCACATTGGAGGAGGCAATGGCCTAGTTGTATTATCACTAGATTATTAATCCAGAAACTCAGTTAACGTTCTGGGCATCTAGGTTCAAATTTTGTCATGGCAGATGGTGGAATTTGAATTCAATGACAAATCTGGAATTAAGGGTCTAGTGGTGACCTTGAAGCCATTGTTGGAAAAACCTATCTGGTTCACCGATGTCCTTTAGTGAAGGAAATCTGTCATCCTTACCTGATCTGGCCTACATGTGACTCCAAACCCACAACAATGTGGCAGACTCTTAACTGCTCCCTTGGCAATGAGGAATGGGCAATAAATGCTGGCCTGGCCAGCAATGCCCTCATCCCATGAATGAATTAAAGCATTTTACATCCCACTTCCACCCTGTCTTCTGCCATTCACCATCACAAGATCGCCTTGGCAATGAATTAAAAGCCACCACAAAATTGCCTGCTCCAAACCAAATTTTTCCAGACAAACCCTCACAGTGGTTGACACGGTGGGTCAGTGGGTGGCACTGCTGCCTCACAGTGCCAAGGACCCAGGTTTGATTCCAGCCTAAGGCAACTGTCTGTGCGGAATTTGTGCAAACTCCCTATGTCTGTGTGGGTTTCCACCAGGTGCTCCTCCCACATCAAAAGATGTGCAGATTAGATTAATTGGTCATGATAAATTGTCCCATAACGTTCAGGAATCTGCAGATTAGGGAGATTAGCCACGATAAATGCAGGGATAGGGTGGGGTGTTGGGTCTGGGTGGGATGCTTTTCGGAGGGTCGGTGCAGACTCGATGGGCTGAACAGCCTCTTTCCACACTGTAGAGATTCAATGATATTTGTCAAATTGACTTCGGAGGTCTTGCACTGTCTTTGTCTGTCTTAGTGTTCTCCAGTGACTGCAACACAGTCAGTGCAAGGCTGCTCACTTTCAGTGGAGGAGATGGCACACATATGCGCAGGGCAACCTTGAGCCGCTCAGAGTCTAGGAGGTCTGGTCAGCAGTGATCTGGGTGACTGGCTGTTAGGCAGAGGGGCAGCATGGAGAGGATGAAAAATTATTATCCTAAGAGAGGACCACAGGCTCAAGCTTGATAGATGCACCACCGTTCCCCCACAGTGGGGCCTCAGTGATGCTAGTAATTTGTTGAAGGACATATTGTTGGACTGCTGTGAAGTTTCTGTAAGTCCGTTTCAGTATTCCGTCTGGGGAAAAAAAGATTCATTTGTGGGAAGTGGGTGCCACTTGTTGCCTGCTCCTGATTGCCCTTGAAGTGAGTGTCATGCAAGGCTGTTTCAGGCAGCAGTTAAGAACTAACAATGTTGCTATGGGTCTGGAGTTACATGTCAGCCAGGCTGAGTAAAGATGACAGATTTCCTTCCCTCAAGGACATCAGAGACTTAGACAGGTTTTTACCACAATTGATGGCATTTGTCAATGGGAGACTAGCTTTCAATTCCAGATTTTAACCACTTGAATTTAAATTCCACCAGCTAACATGGTAGGATTTGAACCTGTGTCTCCAGAGTATTAATTGAGGTCACTTGGTTGTTAGTCCAATGACATTTCGACTGTACCACCATCTCCCCGGAGTTTCAGTATTCCCGATAATAATATTCTAACTACAAAGGCAGCATGCCTTCAAGCTGAAAGTTTCACTCTGTGCTTCTATTCCAACAGCCAGACCATAAAATTATAGAATGATTCCAGAATGGGAGGCCATTTGGTCCATCATATCTCTGTTGGCTCTCTGCAATTCATGCCCATAGCCATACAAATCTTTTCGCTTCAGATAACCAACCAATTCCCTTTCAAATGCTATGATAATATCTATCTCCACCACATTTTCAGGCAGCAGATTCCAGATCCTAACCACTCCCTGTGATTTCTTCTCAGGCCACCCTCTTGTTCCTTTGTCAGTCAATTTCAATCTGTGTCGTAGGCTTCTCAAGCCTTTCATCAATGCAAATGATTTCTCCCTATCCATGCTGTCCTGATCCCTCAAGATTTTGGGAAACCTCAGTCAAACGTTTCAAGTTCTCTTCTCTAAGGGGAACAGTGACAGCACCTCCAACTTAGCTCATAACTCAAGGCCCTCATCACTGGAGCCATTCTTGTAAATCTTCCCTGCACCCTCTCTAAAATCGTCCCTTCTTTCCTGAACGTGCTGCCCAAAAGTGGATACAACACTGCAGTTGAGACTATACCACAATCTCCTTGCTTTTGTACTCTGTTTTTCTTTCATTACAATGAGGAGTTGAGTGGCTGCAATTTTTTAAAAGAACTCAGGATTCCCCGATTTATCTGTCTCTTTGGCCCAGATTGATAGTAAGCACAGATCAGGTTTCTGTACTTAACAAGAATTATTATTTATTACAAATAAACAGACTGTAGCTACAGGTAAATAATCACGAACCATATAATTCTACTACTTAAAACTCTAATTCCTTATAAACTTCCTCTTACGCACATATACAGATAGGGGAAAAAGATGGGTGTTAGGGGCAGAGGGAAAAACTTCAAAGCAGTTCAGTGGTTCCTATTCACAAGATCTGCTGAGGTGGTTCTTACGCTGATCAGAATGCTGTTTCTTAACCAGGCCCGAAACGTCAGCCTTCCTGCTCCTCTGATGCTGCTTGGCCTGTTGTGTTCATCCAGCTCTACACCTTGTTGTCTTGGAAGAACAGGGCATAGGTTAATGACACCCCATCATCCCGCACATTTTTGAGCCTTAACCAATTTTTCCTCCAGCAATCCAGGGCAATATTTTTCAGTTTGAGGTGGTTTGCCTACTGTCTCAAAGAGACAGAATGCAGGAAGCTAAACGCACAGTTTGTCTTACATAATAGTCAATATTTATGCAGAAGAGCAGGCTTTGTTAGTCTGAAAAGAAGCTGAAACAGCAACTTCAAGCACAGATTTGCTTGTGCACTTGTCAGGCTGGTTTTGAACTGAACAATCTGGTTCTGTTTAAGCTGTTTAAGAAGATAAATAGTACAAGTGTCAGGAATCTAAAAGAAAAGCAAATCAAAAATACAGATTTGTACACATGAATAACGAGATAGAGCAGATTAATGTTTGTTACCTTTGCGTTAGATTCAAATACTCAGTTTTCTTAAACGGGAAATATGGGACATGCTCTGCAGTTAAGGCCATACTTGTGAGAGGGAAATAAAGCCAGTGGGCTGAATCTTATCACAAATAGCTGAGTGTCGTTTTTGTCTTCTATGTGAGGGCCAATAAATTTACTCACATGCTCGTCCCAAACTCATCTGATAAACTGTTCAATATTCCCCGTTGCCTAAGCAAATGTACTTGCCACTGCCCAGATATCCTGAGGGTCCTGGTGCCAGTGACTTCTTGGAACCCCAGCCATGCAGTTGGTACTGTGTTGGCAGCCCAGAGTTGCCCTTCACTGTGTACGTAGTGAAACAGCGGCCACAAGCTAACACTTCTCATGGCACAGAGATGGCAATGCTGTCACTTCCATGTGCATACAACTGCATATTCCAACACCAATCAAGGTTTAAGCACCAGATCACACAGCATACCTGTCCCTAGCCATACTCTGTCATACAACCTTCTAAGTCACTTTTACTGTTTCCCCAATACCTAGTGTAGCCTAGCATCTTCTCAAATATTCAATATGGGACCGTCACACACAGGAGAAGTCTTCAAACAGTTCAAAACAGTCACTTTTATTCACTAACACCAATAGCAAACAGAAATCAAGCAAACAAAATGTTGTCTGTGCTTTGGACACTTCAGCCATGTTTATGAATTACAAACACTTTACCTAAATACTCTAGTTGGTGAGATGGACAAAGGGACGTAGAATTTGGTATATAGTTCAATTCAATTTTATTAACAAAAATTCCTTGTTAAAAATATCATGTGAGCATTTCCCAAACTCCTCCAATATTTACTCTTCAGCCAGCACTATCAGTCTAAGAAAGGGTATTACCTGCACTGGTCCACGTGTTTGAGATGGTCCATTGAAATCTCCTTCCTCTCCAATGTAGGTCTGGCTCTCTTCCACAAAGGTGGGTCTCATAGGTCAGGGCAGATCTTCTCCAGGGTCCTTGGGTTGCTGCATGGTCTTCTGCTACAAGTCTTGCTGCAAGTCTCCACAGCGAGTCTTCCCGGAGGGTCTTCTCCTTTGACCCGGACCCTCCTGAATTTTCTGTGGCCTTTGGCCAATGGGATCATGAGCTGAGTTCAAAGCATCCATTGGGGTCGGGCGAACACAGTTCATTGTTGCTATACCAGGGAGATGTAAAGTGTGCATCCTCAGGGCACTAGCTGAAAGTCGAGATGTGTAGAAATCTGGTTGAAACTCTTCTAACACATGACCTTTGTAAGTTGTAACTTGTTCCCCTGAACTTTTGTGATCTCTTTGACCTTGGTTTCCACTGTTCTCTGTAGCCAATGGCTGCTGGCTGTTGTTTAATCTAGTTTGGCCAATTTTCTGTCAGGCTCGATTTCTCTGGCTGTGGGTCAATTTACAATGTCCAATTTTGGGCCCAAGGTTGCTTTTCCAGATGAAGCTGCATTTACCTTGCAGAACAGAAACAAACTGCTTGCATATCACACGTCAACAATTTTACAGGCAATGAGTACCCAGCTCTCAGTTACTGGAACCAGACATCAATGAAGCCTAGCTTATCGGACCCAAAGCTGCTACACTCTTTCATGCCGAAAGTGATGTTCCTCACATTCAATGTCCTCATCTTCCTCCACTGAAGACTGCTGCTCTCCCAGCTCTTCAGCATCCATCACATCTCTTCTTCCCTTGTTCCAGTTGTGGAGAGCACAGCAAGCTAGGATTATGAGGCACCTTTTCTCTGGAGTGTACTGCAAGGCCACACCAGACTGGTGCAAGAACTTCATCTTCACTATGATCCTGCTCAGCAAATGGCCGTCATTGTATTGACATTCTGCCTTAGTCAGCAGCTCGTGTAACAATCATCAGCCATAGGCACAGAGGGGAGTAGTCCTTGTTTCCCCAATACCTATCCTTGTAAGGAATCTGGACCCTTAAACACAACGGGAACATGAGAGTTCTCAAGGATATAGAGATCATGGCAGCTCCCAGGGTATCAAGCACAAACTTCTAAGAAATAGTACTGAGGATCACAGATCATTTACACGTTGATGTAATGAAATCATTTTCTATTGATGAACTCAGCTGCAATCTGATATGACCCTCTCAGCAAGGGTTGAACACTCAATTTCAGAATTCTTGGCTTTGCAGGATGTTTAAAGCCTTTCATTGTGTTTCTTTTTGACTAGCTTAGTGACTAGCTGGCTTCTTGCACGCAGAGTGAGAGAATCCTTCATCTGCACCTCAAGAACAACGAGCTGACTGTGACATGCACAACACACTAGCACTCGAACACAGGCCAGTACACAAGGGTATCTCAGCTCACTGGCACATATAAGCTGCTCATGTCACTACACACACACAGAGGGATTAAACTGACTTTTAATCTATTATCCTATGTATTCTTGAAAGGGGAAAAGACAAATATGTCTCTTGCCCAGCTTACTGTCTGTTTTTTTTTATTATCATGTTTACAGTCTAAGATACAGATCAGTTTGTAAAGCATTTCTGTTTTCTAACTGCACATACTAGTGTTACATTCCAAAGTGTCTCTCTGTGTCCAAACAGCTACTGATTTTACATCCAGTTATTTTTGACTGTATGTCCCTTCTAAAATAGTTATAAAAATAATATAAATATGATAAAATGTTTTAAGAATAATCATATGTTGCAATTACACATGAGAATTAAAAGTTCAATATGCCTTTAAATAATCTGAGATTATGATCTATGGTCATGATACTTCGCCCACACAATGAACGAAATTAGATCCATTTTCATTTCTTTACAAAAGATAAACAAAAAATGAATTTATAAAAACAAACACTCACACATTCATCTCCTACCCACAGTCAATTATATCTCTTCAGTTCTAACCAGTTATGTCCAGGTTCTGGGCAGCGGTATGCAATCACTTTTGATTTCTCAACAATATGGATGATTTTCATGTCATATGGTTGAAGAAACAAACTATAATGGAACAACCTGGCATTCTGGATCTTATACTTCTCCATAAAAGTTAACAGTCAGTGGTCAATTTGGATCTGGTCTCTCTATATCCATCTTGGACGTATATCTCAAAGTGTTTGAGAGCCAACAATAAGCTGAGGGGTTCCTTCTCTGCTATGGAGTACTGTTTCTGATGTTTGTTTTAAAGTATCCTCTTCCTGAAAAATGACAGCCCCAATTTTACTCTCATCAATGGTTACTTTAAATATTTGGTTAAAATTCGGAACTGCAAACACAGGCTCACTTGTTAAAACGGTCTTCAGCTTTTCAAAAGCAATTTGGCATTTCTCAGTCCATGCAATGTTTGCCTTTCTGTACAGGACATTGGTCAGTAACATGGCTATTGTACTAAAGTTTGGGATGAATTTTTGGTAGAACTCGCACATTCCTAAGAACCTCATAATTTCCTCATTTGTTATAGAAAGGGGGAGCTATGCCATTGCTTATACCTTTGCAGTGTTGGACAGTACACATTCTTGACGCATTATATGTCCTATATAGATCACTTGGGCCTGTGCAAACTTGCTGAACTTGATCTAAGGTCAGATGATTGTATTTTCCAGAAGAGGGATTCCAGTTGCTTTAAGTGTGCTTCGCAGGTGTTGCTGTAGACTAGGAGGTGGTCTAAGTGTACCAAGCAACTGGATAAAACTGCCACCAGTTAATTTGGCAACATTTGAAGTCCAGAGTCCAAATGGCATGTCCTAGCAGTGGTACAACCTGTCTGGAGTTATGAGGTGGATATTCCTTTTGTATAGGCAGTCACGGGAACTTGCCAGAACCCCTTGAGTAAACCTATCTTTGTAATTTAGATTGCTTTATCTATGCAATCTTCCAGCCAGGGTATTGGGTCAGAATTGGCTCTGATCACTGAATTAACTTTCCAGTAGGTAATGCAGAGACTGGTAGAGACATCTGATTTGGACATGAGCTTGGGAGCTTCAGCTACTGCCATAGAACTCAACTAACCGGTGTTCCAGCATTTAGCTAATCTCCTCTCAAACCTACGCCAACATTTGTGAGCCAAACCGGTCGGGATGTTGATTAATGAGAGAGGCCTCTCCCACGTCCACATCATTGTAAAGCCAGGGTGATGCTTCCTGACTTGTCTCTGCATTAGCTCTTAAATACATTAACCAACCTGCTTATGTCTGTTCACTGCTCTATACCAAGATGCATGAATAAGGAGTCTATGTTTGCCAGTATTTCTATATTGATCAGCTGGGTAGTCAGGAGGAATAATGTGGACCTCACCTACGGCTTTGTGTGCAGCTCCTAATGGAATGCAAGCACATTTTCATTAGTTGTTCCTCTGCCATGCTTGGGGAATGCTCCTTCTCCAAGGAGTAGCATTCCAGTGGTGAAGTTCTATTTCTACAGTCGTCATTGTAACAATCACAAACCATTCATCATCCTTAGACATGATGTCACTAACCTATAAGTGGTGTGGAGTGATTTGTCAGCTCAATTGGCTAACATCTCTTCAGCAGCTTTCTTTATCCACTTCTTTTGTTTCATTCTAGGTAGCCATTCCTGTGCAAAGTGATTCAGTTTCTGTTAGTTAGAACACTGTTTTTCCCACACTGAATGTGTTTCTTTTTCTTTCATGCTCAGAAAACCCTCAATCTGCTCCATTCCTGTGTCAACAGCATTTTCCAGCTTCTTTGAGGTCATTCAAACTCAGAAAGCTAACTCTGTTTCTCTCTTCACAGATGTTGCTGAGTTACTCCAGCACTTTCTCATTTTATTTCAGATTTCCTGCATCTGCAGTATTGTGCTTTTATTACCTTGTTCTAGGAACTATTGGGAGACATGGGGAAACAGGTCTGTCACCTTTGAGATCCTTAGATGTTCTGCTTTCCTCACCCGAGTGTTAAGGTATCATCAAATTGGATGGAGCTTAATGCAGACTTCAGTATTAACCCTTTCAGAACCATTACCTTATACAATAATTGTGGTTGGTGGGTAACTGACCGAGATAAACACTTTCCCCTATATTTCTGAAATCATGTTCGAAAATGGCAGCACTTGCTTGTATATAGCAACTCCCAAAGAGGGAGATGATGGTCTAGTGGTGATGTCATTGGAGTAGTAATCCAGAGACAGAGGGTAATTGGTACAAATCCTGCGACAGCACCTGGTGGAATCTGAATTCAGTTGATAAATCTGAAATTATAAAGCTATTCTCAATGGGCAATCATGAAACTACCATTGATTGTCTTAAGAACCCATCAGTTCCCTATTGTCCTTTAAGGAAGGAAATCTGCCATCCTTACCTGGTCTGGTCTATAAGTGACTCCAGACCCACAGCAATTTTGATGACACCAAACTCTTCTCAGTTCAAGGGCAATCAGGAAGGGACAACTTATGTTGACCTTGCCAACAATGCTGACTTTCCATGAAGCAATAAAGAAAGCTAATTAATTCTTTTTAGGGAATTTGCATGCAGCAAGGTCTTACAAACTGCAAAAGGTTAGCAAAAAAGGAAAATTTAGACACCAAATAGGATAGTTGAGATTTGATAACTTCACTTATTCCAATTTTCCCTTTATAATCACTCTGGTCAAGACTACAACTTCCCATTGCACTTATATGACTGAAACACTGGCAGCAGCAGATGGGGGAGCCGACTGAGCATTGAAAATCAGAGTTCTGTAACTTCTGTGCGAACTTAATTCTGTTTTCGTTGGATCTGAGTGGGGAGGCTAGTGCAGTTTTGCATGCAGACTAAATTTATCAAGAAAATTTATTTACAGACAAGGTAATTATACAGAGGCATAAAACATAAGACCATAAGATGTAGGAACAGAGAAAGCCATTCATGCTGTCCAGTTTACTTCGCCACTCAGTCAGATCACAGCTGATCTGATAATCCTCAAATCTATTTTGTGATGATAGTATGGCTGTAAGAGGTGTCTTTTGTTCTGGATTTTTTTGTGAAGAAAGGTTGAGACAAAGGCGAAGAGCAATCTGCTCAAAGCCAATAAAGTAAACAGCTTGTGAAGCCTTGGGGTTTTTTTTAAAAGTTAGGACAATAGAAGTAGCCTGAATGGGTGAGGTCAAGCTCCCACAGAACCAGGATTTTCAGTTTTAGCTTTCAACAGTTTCTGGGGTCTTGAAGCTGGATGTAGAAGCTCTTATTCCTCTCTCTTTTACAGTTAAAAGATTGGGTTCTCTTCCTGCTGCTAGAACTGCATGTGAGACAATCTATTTTACTGAATTTGCCTTTGCCAAGGATGTGTTTATGGGATTTTACTATATTGGAACAGTTAATTAGTAGTAGTTATATATATTGTTTTGTTAAGTATTTTGATACAGTTACAGTTAAGCCAATTCTTTTATTTTTATTTTGTCTGTGTTTAACATTGTGTAAAAATAAGCATGTTTTCCTTAAATTTGAGTAGTTTGACCAATCAAATTGCATCTGGAATGGCACCTTAAAATAAGAAAAGTTTAGAGACTAGGCTATCTTCTTAATATATTTTGAGGGGGTTTAGTCTAGTCCGTAACAATTTTCTTGCCTCTTCCCCATAACCCTTGATTCCCTAACTGATTAAAACTTTGTCTATTTCAGCCTTGATATACTTCATGATTCAGCCTCAACAGTTCTTTGCAATAAAGAATTCTACAGATTCACTACCCTCCAAGAGACTAAATTCATCTTCATCTCTGATTTAAATGGGCAGCCCTTATTCTAAGATGATGCCCTCTGCTCCTAGACTCTCCCACAAGGGGAAACAACTTTTCTGCATCTACCCTGTCAAGTGCCCTAAGAATCTTGTACATTTCAATAAGATCGCCTCTCATTCTTCTAAATTCCAATAAGTACAGGCCAAACTCACTCAATTTCTCCTCAAAAGACAGTACATCCATGCCTGATATCAGCTTAGTGAACTTTCTCTGTACTGCCTGCAATGTCAGTATATCTTTTGATAGAAAAGGGGCCCAAAAATGTTCACAGTATTACAGCTCTGATATGACTCGTGTCTTGTATAGTTGTAGCAAAACCTGCTTATTTTTATACTCCATTCCCCCTGAAATAAAGATCAATGTTTCATTTGCCTTTCCTATTACCTGCTGAACTTGGATGCTAGCTTTCTGTGGTTTTTAAAGAGGATACCCAAATACCTCTGTACCGTAGTTTCCTGCAGTCTTTCTACATTTAAATAATATTCAGCTTTCTGCCAAAGTGCTTAACCTCACGTTTCCCCCCATTATATACCATCTGCCAAGTTTCTGCCCACTCACTTAACCTGTCTGTATCCCTCTCCAGACTCTGTGCCATCCTCACCACTTACCTTCCCACTTTTTTTTCTGTCATCCACAAACTTGGTGATATTACATTCACTTCCCTCATCCAAGACATTAAATAATTGTAGCCCCAGCACCAATTCCTGTGGCATAACACTAGTGAGAGGTTGCCATCATGAAAATGCCACCCCTATCCCAACACACAGCCTTCTATTAGTCAGTCAATCATCTATCCTAATGCTAACATAATCCCCTCAAAATCAAGGGCTCCTGTCTTATTAAGTACAGGCAGTCCCAGCTTGTGAACAGGTTCCATTTTTGAGGCTGCTCGATTTGTACGCAAGTGGGAACACAATGTAAAATCACCATTCATGAGTACAGGAAATGTTCATACATCACATCTTCAAAACTATATCCTGTATGGGAATCGCATTCATAAGAATAAGCATTCGTAAGTCAGACATTCATAAACTGGGGATTTCCTACGGTACCGTAATGCTTCTAATAATTGTGTATAAACTGCTTGTTTTTAGTCAAAGTTCAACATCTTATCTTTATTTTTCTAATTTGTTTGTGGCTGAGTTTCTGATGAGACATTATAGAATCCCTGGACTGTGGAAAGAAGCTATTCAGCCCATCAAGTCTGCACTGCCCCTCTGAAGAGCATCCCAGCCCCAACCCTGTCCCCGTAAGCCCACATTTACTATGGCTAACCCACCTAGCCTGCACATTCCTGAACACTATGGGCAATTTAGCATGGCCAATCCACCTAACCTGCACATCTTTGGATGGTGAGAGAAAACTGGAGCACCCAGCAGAAACCCATGCAGGCACGGGGAGAACATGCAAACTCCACATGACCACCCAAGGCTGGATCAAACCCGGGTCCTTGGCACTCTGAGGCAGCACTAACCATTGAGTCACTGTGCCACCTCCCATTATATGGTTAAGGATTTTGTGACAGCACTCAGGATAATGCAAACCTTGAAATCAAGGAAAGTAGGATTACCACCAGCATATGCCATTTTAAGTGTTTTGTGGCACAGTGGTAGTGTCCCTGCCTCTGGGCCAATGATCTGGCTC